AGACTACCCACCTCTGGACTCTATGTGAGCTGGAATACACTGAGTTCCGGGCTCTGCAGAACAGCCCTCCATGATGTGAGTTTAACTTCAAATCGTTCATTTACTCCGAGGAAAAAGTACAGAAACCTCAGACTTGTGTCTTCTTGGCACAGTATTAACATTGAAGGCGGTCAGAATACATGACGCATAGTAATTATTTTAAGTTGTGGGCATGTGAGAATAAGTTTTTAATGGTTGTTTTCCACCCCTGCATTTTCAGATATGAAGAAGGGGCTCTCAAAAGAACTTGCCATAAATGCCTGCTAAGGACCAGACAACACTGGCTCTCTCATGAGAAGAGAAGTAACTGTCAAGCCCAAACTCACAACGCTACCACTCCCTCGCTTCTGTTTGTTAAGGGCCCATGATCTTTCTAGAAAGGCATCTGTTTTCCTGTAAGGACCTGTTCTCTTCCTCTCTCCCCATATTAAGATATCAATAGTATCTAAGCCCCAATTTCCAACATCCTTTTCTCTTACTAATTGTCAATTTAATTTGCCCCAACCACTAAATCTAAGAGAAAGAATTAAACCTGACATCATTAATTAATAAAAATTCTACTTTCAGGTTAAGAAATTTGGATTGAAGCTGGGCATGACAGCACATGCCTGTAATCCCAGCATTCGGGAGGCTGAGGCAGGAGGATAGCTTCAAATTCAAGGTCAGCCTGGGTTACACAGTAGTTCAAGACCAGCCTGAACCTCACAGTGAGACCCTGCCTCAAAAAAAAGGAAGGAAAAAAAGTTAGGGCAGTTCATATCTAAATTGGCAGCTCTGACATTAAATCAAACTGAGGTGGATTAGGAGTGAAATAAACCAGAAAACTAGTTGGGAAGAACGTGCCAAAAGTCATACAAAATCAACAACTAACTGGTTGGGTAAAATGTTTTCTAAAAAGAAGACATGTACAGAACAAAGGACAAAACCGTGTTGGGAATACACGCCAGACTCATTCTGTCAGTGCAGACAGATAGTAAGGTACGAGGACAAGAAATCCCAGCAAGGTGTTTTACTTCTGCAGAAGGGCATGTGCTCACTACAGCGCGCGGCAGAGGTAGCGGACATGCACAGTCGCTGCTGCAGGCTTCCTTGATTTCCTAACTTGTGAGAAGTTGACCTTCTCCCCCGCCCCACGGTCTGGTTCAAAGGTTACCAGCCTGTCCCAGCTGGCTAGTTTAAGCAGATGGAGGGGAGGGCTGAAGGGCTGCCGGGCAGCGCTGCTGAGGGAGGGAAGCGGGGTGTGCGGAACTGAAAGTCCTCAGCTGCTGTTAAGTCACCTCTGGCGGTCAGTCTAGTCCACGGGACCGAAACTGAGCAGGCATTTCCCGTAACTCTGGAGTAGGGCAGCCCCGGTGGACTAGAGTTCATGAGAGAGATACGCACTCTGTTGTCCATTATTTTTGATAGAAAAGGCTTTGTTTCGGACACTTGGGTACAAACTTAAATGAAAATTCTCTAACCCTGTGATAGACATGAGGAATGATTCTGAACTTGGAGATTAGCAATTAGTTTTGACAAGCCCTCTAGGGAAATCGAACACCGGTCTAAATTTGAGCTCTACAATATTAAGGCAAGATTATAGCAATTTGGAAAAACAAAGGTAAGGTAGGAGTAGTGGTACCCACCTTTAAGACTGAAGCAGGAGGATCTTGAGCACAAGAGCAGCCTGGACTACACAGTGAGATGTTGTTTCAAAATCAACACACACACACACACACACACATATGCACAAATAACAACAAAACACACACATACACATACACAAATATAGGATGGCAAAACCAAATGCAGCATTTTAACAGAGCCTTCCCTGGGCTCTGGGTTCCTTCAGGGATAGAGTTCAGCAACACTGAAAAGCTTAGTATTTGCTGTTCACCTGTCTATCCGGCCCTCTTACAGCCACCGAAGCTTGGAGAACACCTTCACATGTTTCCACTTAAAGGGACGTTTACACACACAACCAAAGCAAGGCAAACATCTTCAGCAAGGGCATAAAACACACAGCATCCAGACGTCTCCCAGAAGCACTTCTCTGCCTCCAATTGACCTAAAAGTTGAGCTCTTAAAATCACTCATTACAAAGCAAGTGCGAGCTGAAACGCAAGCTATCCTAGGCGAGAGGTGGCAAGTAACGCACCCAAAGCATGGAACACGCCCATCACCTACATGAAACACATTATAAACTGACGCGTTTCTACGGATGCCCAAGTACTCATGCACTTTTAAAGTCAAGAGACCACAGAGCAAATCTAAGTTTCAGACAGCGATCTGGTAAAAACAAAATGAATCCAAAATACACAGGGCACATATTAATGCAAACAAACCCACATGTGATGAAAAAGAATCCAAAATTGAGCACACCAAACTGATACTTTAACATGAAGAATTCAAGTATATATTCTCTGCAGCATCACTTTTACAGGAAATCTAGTTTAAAATTTTTTCAAAACACTATTTTCTAAGTCAAACAATTTAGAAAGACATATTCAGGCTCTGGCATATCAACTTGTTCATATAAATAAATGTTTAGCAGATACAAAACAAAACCACATTTTATAAATTTGGCTAAAAAATACAGGATATATTTGCCTATTGCAGAAACTTTTCCCACTTTATACACAAATTAACCCCTTACCTCAGAGAGCTTCCCTACGAAGAAGGGCAAGTTTTCGTGCCCTATGTTCACCTCTCCACCTCCTCCTGGTACCCTCCTCTTCCGCCTCGCCCTGAACTACCATCTCCATCCTCTTTATTCTGAGACAGGGTCTGCTAAGTCTCCCAGGCTGCAGTCCTCCTTCCTCAGCATCCTGAAGGGCTGGGATCAAGGTGTATCCCATGCCCAGCCTGTACTTTCTACTACTATTTGTGGGGAGGAGGATGAGACAAAGGCTCACTGTACAGTTCAGGCTGACCTTGAACTTCTGATGGTCCTCCTGCCTCAGCTTCCTCTGAGCTAAGATTACAAGATTACAACCAATTCCTATATTTACTTCTCTTTTTTCCAGTGACTATAATTTTCCTTCTCTTTTGGAATTAAAGAAAATGAAAGTCAACTGCATATATGAAATCATTTAGTTACATTTAATTATAAGATTTCCTTTAACCAGGATACTTCTATTCAATAATTATTCCCAGTATTAATATTTACATTTATCCACTGAAATGACTGTTTTTTAAAATTTTTTTTAAAGGGTCTTGCAAGGAGCTGGGGATATAGCTCAGCAGCACAATCTCCTGCCTGGCAAGCATGAGGTTCTGAGTTCGAGTTCAGGTACCAAAAAAATTAAATAAATAAAGAGTTTTGCTACATTCAAACTCATGGTAATGAACCTGCCTCAGCCTCCCAAGTGCCGGGATCACAGGTGTGCATCACCACGCCTGGCTTGACACTCAGTTTTCTGTTTCTCTTGTCTTTGTACTTAAACAGAAGGCAACATGGCCCCTCTGCCTTGACCTCATGCGCCGTAGGTGTGACAGCCGGAGGCCAGCGGGTCAGGATTAGAAATGGCGCTCTCTGTGCACGAATTGAGAGTGAGAAGGAGGCCGTGGGCACGGTTACTGCAAAACCCTTGCTCCATCAGCTCCTCTGTAATTCCAGCTGGGAACTACAGTGAGCTTGTCAGGAAGGTCGTGTAAAAGACGCAGTTATAGACACTTGTCTTCTTTTTTTTTTTTTTTTTGTCTTTTTGAGACAGGGTCTCACTATGCAGTTCAGGCTGGCCTTGAGCTCATTCTGTAGCCCAGGCTGGTCTCAACTCCCAAGGATCCTCCTGCCTCAACCTCCCAATGCTGGGATTACAGGCACACGACACCATGCCCAGCCAAGACAGCTCTCTTTGTTCTTTTACTTACAGCTGGATCATCACTGAACTAAAACACAAAGACAACAGCCCTTAGACCCTCAAAGTCTACAGACCTAAGTACAATTTCATGCCTCCCATTATGCTTACACAGTTGCTTTTCAAATCTTCCATCCTACACCGCTAGAAAAACTAAGTTAAAATGCAGTTCTTTAATATGTCAAATTGTTTTTTTTTTTAACAACGGAGTAGAACAGTATGATCCAGGCATGGTGACACATGCCTGCTAGCCCAGTACTTGGGGAGACTGAGGCAGGCAGATTGGCACACGTTTGAGGCCAGTATGGGCTCCGTGGTCAAGGCCAGCCTGGGCTGCAACTGAGACCCTGCCTCAGAAGCTTCCCCTTGACTCCCGTATATCCCCTTCACTCAGATACCCCAGTTAACATTTTGTCACATTTTCTCTTGCTTTTGTGTGTGTGCTTGCTTTCACAAGGTATAACCAAAAAACATGGTGAATGTTAATTTTTTCCAAATGTATTACAGTGAAAGGCACACTGCAATTAATCCCCCACAAAATACTCGATTTGAACATACCCACTGTCCTTGCCATTTTCTGAAGCAGTTCTGAAAATTCTCTTTTCACATCTTTGTGAGAAGAGATAAAAAATACAGTGGATGTTGCTGCTGAGTGGCACCTAGGGGAAAGGCAGGCTTGCAGAGACATTCTGTGTGACCGCAGCGACCTTATCACTGGGCCTGGTGCTGTACATGCAACTTCTGGCTCTTCCTCCAGGTCAAAATGACCGTGAAAAGTCATTCAGGACATGGAGCAGCTGTGACAGCACAACCGAAAGACACTCACGAGAGAGCGCCTCCAGAGCTGCTTCAGAGAGCAGCAAGAAAGATGAGGTCAGTGCAGGAGGGTTAGTAGTGACGTGTCTTTCACTACAACGAATTTTAAGTGTAAACATGTGCTGTATCTTTCCATCACACCTCACACATCACAAATCTCACATCTGGCAAAGGTACCACAGAAAAATGCCAAAAATTAGGTAACTGAAAACATTTTATATTAGTGGGTTTTTTTTGTTTTGTTTTGGGTTGTTCTCTACTTTTCAAAAATATTCTGCTGCTTGAATTAAACTGTCTACTGCATACCTGATCCATATCTAAAGTCGTTTCTATCATTTCCTGAAACTTGGAGAAATCAGAACGAAGGTCAACAAGAGGAGCCGCAAACACAGCCAACAACAATGCCTGGTGTCTTCCTAAACGAAAGGAAAAACAAGAATAAACAAGACCACAGGTCACACAACCTTGAATGAGGTAACAAGTATCATTACCCAAAAGTCACAAACAGTGCAGGCCTCCAAAGTTTTACTTACTTAAGTGTCTTCATTCAAAGTATTTTTTTTAAAGAGAGAAAAAAACAATAGAAATGATATACAATTTCAAAACAAAATGATAGGAAATTAAGGATGGCTACTATATTGCATGTTGTTACCTTCAAACTAGTTGCTCAGATTACAAAATATAGGCATACAAAACTGATCAAATATAAGCACTAACTGTTCCTTTCGATGAACTAATAGAAATTAGTAGTACAGGGGGCTGGGGATTTAGCTCAGCGGCAAAAGCGCCTGCCTGGCAAGCGCAAGGTCGTGAGTTTAGTTCCCGGTACCGGAGAAAAACCAAAAAAAAAACAAAAAACAAACAAACAAACAAAAAAGAAATTAGTAGTACAATTATCTTAGCTATCTTGTGTGTGTATATAAATTTTTTTTTTAATTTTCCCTTCCTTTCTTTTCTCCTTTCCCCCATCCCAGTTGTTCTGTCCTTTTGAGCAGTTTCTTTCCTTTTCCCAGTATCTACTGTACCTTTTGGATCTTATTTACTCTTTCAGTTTCGTACACTAGGAAGACAATACGAATTTTACACATGCGAGTGTGATTTATTTCACTTATGAGCACCTTCTCCCGTTGCATCCATTTGCCTGTAAAAGCCTCGGGTTTATCTTTCTTTACAGCTGAAGAGTACTCCATTGTATAAAATACCACAGCTTTTTTATCCTTTCTCTGGTACAGGGAGCTGCCGTGGACTAGCACTCAAAGCTTCCCACTAATGAAACATTGCCCCTACACCTGTCACTTCCCTCCTAAGGCCTGCTAAGAGATGTAGAAATATGACATTAGAACCAAATGCATTTCATTTCTTAAGGCTCAAATAACCCAGTCATAGCCTTTAAAGAAGACCTCCAACTTGCCCCGCATTCCAAATTTCGATTCCTAACACGGGGTTACCATTAACAGCAGTTAGATCAAGTGCTGCATCACACACTGGAGCTCTGCTTGAGACTGAGGAGGACAGGGCTGAGAATTACGTGGGGAGAAGGAAGGGAAGCAACACGGTGGCGGTGTGAAGAGCAGAGTGGAGCCTGGGCGCCCCTGGCAGCCTTGCCCACACTTGCTGCCCATCACCCAGGACATGCTGCTTGGAGCCCCTTTCCTCGCCTGCACAACGGAATAATAACGAACTACCCAGCAAGTGGACATGCGAGATAACGAAATGCAACTTTAGGACAGTGCTGGATACTCAAAAGAAACCCAACAGTTGGTATGAATCACTGTTAGCATAATGAAAGGACTTCATTTTTCTGATCTCTAGTAAATTTGTTGAAAGAATTTTCCAAGTGGTCTCTAGCACATTGCATTTCACTCTAAAACAATAATTCCCAAACTTCCAGAAATTTCTATAGCTCTTGACTGAGAAAATGATGACAAACTACTAAGAAGTCAGTAAAACTGCTTTTAAATTCGTATTTCATTATTAATCACAACAGCATTTACATAAATTGAGAAAACAGTTCATATGTGTGAAACATTTAGACAGACTACAAACAACACTTTGCCCACATAGTGTCTGCTGTGCTACAATGCCTGGTTCGTTCTCCCAGTAGCTCACGTGCTACTGGGAAACGGGAGGACGGAGGCAGCCAATCACAGGCGTGGCACTGGTTCACGCCCACAGTGTTTCAAAGGTAATAAGCCTTAGCAACGAAGACCTCAGAGGAGCTGCTTAATGGCCGCCACACTTCCCACTAGGTTAAGATATGCAGATAAAGGGGCAAAACATTTGTCAATATTTTGAAAAAGAAAGGACCAAATTCTATTCCTTGGTACAGATTTATAATTTCAATGAAATGGGCCTATACTAGAAAGGACCCACATCTCAAAGGGAAAAAAAAAGTCTCAGATTGTAAGCCTGAGGAGAGTTCGCTGACTCTAGGGCCGGGTGCAAAGGATCATGGAGACAGGGTTTCTGTTAGTCTGTCAAGGCTTTCTGAGCAATGCTTTAAAAACTTCCATGTACTTTGAGTCTGTCTCAATGCTATTTTATCCATAAGCTCTGCTACTTCTCTAGCTCCTAATTCTGAAGGCTTTTTGAGAATACTGTACACACGACACTATAGAAATACTGTATATAAGAATCTCTCACCCTCAACACGTTCTCTAGCCCCTTAAACATACAGAGGCAGCTTCTTAGAATCTGTAAATCCCTAACTCCCTCATGAAGTCATTTGTCCCAAAATCTGCAAGCTTTTACTAGCACCGTGTTGTGTTTTGTTTTGGTTTTGTACGGGGGACTGAGCCCAGGGCCTACGCACTAAGCAAATTCTTGGCCCATTTTAATTTTTTACTCTGAGACAAGGTCTCACTAACTCGCCCAGGTTGGGTCTGAACTTGGTAGCTGAACTTGGTAGTTGTTGTGCCTCAGCCTAGAGAGTGCTGGGACTACAGCTGTGAGCCACTACACGGGTTTTCACTAGCAATTTGAGATCCTTCCTTTAGCTATAACATCTACTAAATCTCAGCTGCCAATTTCCAACTAGGTTTTGAAAAACTATACTCTTTACTAGTTACCAAGACCTAAAAAGCCACACACATGTTAACCCAAGAGTCACAGACCCCTTGAACTCAGGGTAGTATATGAACGTCTAAACAAAACTGCAGCTGTGCCCCTCATAAACTGCTTCAATGTTTCAGGCAATAGGCACAAGTATTAATATTTCTGTAACAATCTAAAGCATAATTTAATCACTTCTAAATCTTACCATAACTTACAATGACAAGGATAAACTGAATGCCCAAGAGGAACATACCAAGAGCAAGTGGTTCAGACGGGCACAGTGGCTCACGGCTGTTAACCCCGGCACTCAGGAAGCTAAGGCAGGAGGGTCGCCATGTAGGCCAGGCTGAACTACACAGCAGGACCTATTTGAAAAAAAAGGATAAGGCCGGGCGTGGTGGCGCACACCTGTAACCCCAGAACTCGGGAGGCTGAGGCAGGAGAATCACTGCAAATAGCCTGTGCTACAAAGTGAGCTCAAGGCTAGCCTGAACTGCAGAGCAAGACCCTGTCTCAAAAAGCGCCCCCACCCCGCAAAAAAAGGATAAGGAATCAGTACTGACAGTCAGTACTAGGAAGGAAAGGAGGGAGAAGTAGGCCCAAGTGATGATTTGTGATGGCCGTTTCAAGCCAGTTTGTATTTTAATCCTGAAAGCCATGAAAGCCGTCTGAAGGGTTTTAGAAAGACTAAAGACACATTGATATTTACGTTTTTACAATGGTTGGCTAAAGCAAAGAGAACGCGTTAAAGGGAGCAAGAGGAGCACTGGCGAGAGCACTGCAGTAACAGTGCTTCAGGTGAGAAGAAACTCCAGCTGGACTTGGGTGCTGGTGGGGAAGGATCGCAGAGGCGAAGCGTTCAGGACGTGGAAGCAACGGGACCTGGTGACTGAGTGGACAAAAGAAGACAGGGAAGGAGTTACAGCTGACCTGCAGGCTAACGGTAAAGAAGAAACAGACGCCAAGACTTTCTAATCAAGTTAAATGAACAAGCAATACAAGAAGCAAAATTAACTACAGCATAGCTCTGGACGTCTCCGGAAGTGTGCCCACCCACTGACGCAGACCCAAGGCCACATTCTTTTTTTTTTTTTTTTTTTTATTTTGGTTTTTCTCCGGTACCGGGAACAGAACTCACGACCTTGCGCTTGCCAGGCAGGCGCTTTGCCGCTGAGCTAAATCCCCAGCACATTTCCAAACAGATCCCATGTGGTCTGAGAAAAGTCAACCCAGTCTTGATTAAATGGTCATATAAAGACATCAATTTTAATTAACAAAGATTTAAATAATACATTCCTTGCCCACATTCCCTTGATTAATTCTTTGTACTACTAATTCTAATCTGGAAGTTGTATAATGAAAAGTTGACCTTCTTACTACATTTATGAAACTGATTTAAAAATCCATTTAAGTAGAAAAAAGGCTATTAAAATACCAGTGATGAAAGTTTACAGTGTAAGTACACTAAAATTATTGGCAAAAATAATTACAGAAACATGGGACTGGATCTATCAAATTTGACTATCAGATCAGCAATAAGGTCAACGGTCAAAGTGCACGTAAACTATCAAAACATGGCAACTCACTCATGATGGTTAATGAGCTTCAACACAAAGCTGCCTTGTATTTCACTCGCAAGACTATAATCTTAACACCTTAGAGCTGAGACAAGAGAATTTCAACACGTTTGAGGCCAGCCTGAACTACGCAGTGACTCTCAAAACAGAAATTAAATAAATAACATCTTTCCCATTCTCCCATTAGAGACAATCACCTTCACAACTTTTATACTCATCTTAAATGACAAAAGCTTTCATTTTATTTGTTTTTTGAGACAGGGTTTCACTATGTAGTCCAGGCTGGCCCTGAACCTGTAGTGATCTCCCTGCCTCAGCCTCCCGAGTGCTGTGATTACAGGCATGTCCAACATGCCCAGCTTTAGAGTCATTCCTGGGCCGATAGTCCTCCCTTAGTTACTAACCCTCCATTCAAGAGATCCTGCACCCATATTCTATTAAACTGTACCAACAAAATGTATTAGCAGCCGGTCGTGATGGTGTACGCCTGTAATCCAAACACTTGGAGGCTGAGGCAGGAGGATTACTGTGAGTTCAAGGCCAGCCTAAACTGCACAGTGAAACCCTGTCTCAAAAATGAAAAACCAAAACAAACAAAAAAAAGTATTAGCCACTAGAATAAAAAGCAGAGTGCAAAAATATTTACTTGTAAACTTTTGTGACCAAAACTCTTAGTACAAACTTCCCAAAAGAGTAGTTTGTCAAGCTTTTAAAATGCCAACCATGGAGGAGGAAAGTCTGGGGGATGAGAGGGGGTGGTGGAAGGGAAGAGGAAGATGAAGAAA